ATGTGTGTGTGTGTGTGTAGGTTGATTAAATACTTTGATAACACAGGCTTGCGATGGTTTTATTGTCTTGAAATTTGTACACGTTGGACAGTAATTCCTGTACGCTGAATCCGAAAATAATATCCATTTTTCTCCATCGCGTACAGATTTTTCACAAAACGTCGTATGTACTTTTACATAAGTGAACCATTTTCATTGAAATCGGGTCGCATTTTGTTATGTTTAAAATGTTGACAACCACTGGATATAGATTTCTCTATATCAATCGCGACGTGAGAGTCTTATCGATCGTCCTAGAACCCACCGCTAGTATATAAACGGTTAACAGGCCGCACGGCATGTCTTTCCTGAATAGTATTTGTCTGTGCGTGCACTTTGACAATTTTCTTTTCAATAGTATTTATTCGTCGCTATTGGAACACGAGATTATGTAAATGACCCAAACATATTCTGTTATATTTGTGGTAAAGAAACAAAGGCAAAGCATTACAGAATTCGTCAAAAAAGCGTATTACGCGTATTTTGGAATAAAACTTTGGGGACCAAGACAAATCATGGGTTCCGCACAAAGTTTGCACCGTTTGTGTCGAAGAGTTGAGACAATGGACTAAAGGTAAGAAAACGTATTTGCTTTTTGGAATGTCAATGGTCTGGCGTGAGCCTAGAAACCACGAGAAACACACCGCTATTATATAAACGGTTAACAGGCCGTATGACGTGTCTTTTCTGGACAGTATTTGTCTGTGCGTGAACTTTGACATTGATTTTTTCTTTTCAGTTTTTTCTATTCGTCGCTATGGCAACAACAGGTTATATAAATGACCCAAACATATTCTGTTATATTTGTGGTAAATGTGTTGTAAATTTGATCTAAGTAAGAGTGTGTGTGTTTTTCTTCCCGATTTGTAAAAAATCATTACGTGACAGAAAAAAGTGAATATTATTTTCGAAATCTACGTAGCTAACTTATGGAAAATCCATTATTAAAATCAAAACAACTTTTATGAAGTTTAAATTCACAGGCCCGTGTAATTGTAATCTCATGTCTGGAGCATCAATCTGTGATCTGAGAACATTTCAGATTTTAAAGATGGAAAAAGAGCTTGCACAATATATCGTTTTAATTATTCGTTTAGTATCGGCGTACATTCATTTCGTTCCTAAGCCTAAGATCTGCTGAATAAAACTATCTTAAGGACCATTGAAATACAACGAAAATAGTATCAATAGTATAAATTTTATTTTATTAATATTTTTACTATGAGTAGTGATAATATATATATGTGTGTGTGTGTTAAACAATACTTTCTTGTGGTTCGGCAATAATTCAAAATCATTTTAACAATACGTAGCAAATTACCCACTGTCTACAATAATTCAAAATCATTTTAACAATACGTAGCAAATTACTCGCTGTCTACAATAATTCAAAATCATTTTAACAATACGTAGCAAATTACTCGCTGTCTACAATAATTCAAAATCATTTTAACAATACGTAGCAAATTACTCACTGTCTACAATAATTCAAAATCATTTTAACAATACGTAGCAAATTACTCACTGTCTACAATAATTCAAAATCATTTTAACAATACGTAGCAAATTACTTACTGTCTACAATAATTCAAAATCATTTTAACAATACGTAGCAAATTACTCACTGTCTACAATAATTCATAATCATTGTATTTATCATTTACCTCTTCTTCATCAAAACGAGTAAAGAAGAAAAAATGCCTGTGGCAGTGTCTACTATCGTGTAATTCTTAACCATTCACTTGCTATGTTTAAACAATATTTAACAACCAGTACTCGAAAAATGTAGGGGGACGTACTTGTTCAAATAGAACAAAAACTAGTTTCATTCCCTTACATTTATACATCGCCATCTGGCCTTTGGAAAAAGAAACTCATTGCGGTATCTTGGCAGGAACTACGTTCTTTTTAACTTTGGCGAATTTTATTTATTTATTTATTTTTGCCTGAGTATAGTTGCAGCCTAGTTGACATAGGAGGATAGAGAGAGGATTGAACTCCCTCCTTTTTTTTCAGCTGCAGTGTGTACTCTTCCTTATTATTACAAGAATGACAACATCACCAAAAATGTCGCACTTAAAAAAGTTAAATATATAAAGCAAGCTACTTTTCTAGCGTGACTTCAGTATTGACATGAAAAGGATCTAGTTATAAAACAGGATAGTCTTTCTGTCTGTCTGGTGCCTAGGGAAGGATACAGTTATAAAACAGGGTTGTCCTTCTGTCTGTCTGGTGTTTAAAGAAGGATACAATTATAAAACAGGGTTGTCCTTCTGTCTGTCTGGTGCCTAGGGAAGGATACAGTTATAAAACAGGGTTGTCTGTCCGGTGCCTAGAGAAGGATACAGTATATAGGGTTGTCTTTCTGTCTGTCTAGTGCTTAGAGTAGGATACAGTTATAAAACACAGTTGTCCTTCTGTCTGTCTGGTGTCTAGGAAATGATACAGTTATAAAACAGGGTTGTCCTTCTGTCTGACTGGTGCCTAGAGAAGGATAGAGTTATAAAACAGGGTTGTCCTTCTGTCTGTCTGGTGCCTAGAGAAGGATACAGCTATAAAAGAGGGTTGTCCTTCTGTCTGTCTAGTGCATAGGGAAGGATACAGTTATAAAACAGGGTTGTGTGTCTGGTGCCTAGAGAAGGATACAGTTATAGAACAGGGTTGTCCTTCTGTCTGTCTGGTGCCTAGGGAAGGATACGGTTATAAAACAGGGTTGTCTTAAGCACTAGACAAAGTAGGATACAGTTACAGAACAGGGTTGTCCTTCTGTCTGTCTGGTGGCTAGGGAAGGATACAGTTATAAAACAGGGTTGTCCTTCTGTCTGTCTAGTGCTTAGAGTAGGATACAGTTATAAAACAGGGTTGTCCTTCTGTTTGTCTAGTGCCTAGAGAAGGATACAGTTATAAAACAGGGTTGTCCTTTTGTCTAGGAACTTAACGCCTGTCTTTACAGACTCTCTATATCAAGTCTACATAGACGTGAATGAATGAAAATTTTTGAAGAATTCCGTTTTGAAGGGGGGGGGGTAGGTAAAAACAGGGTATACCTGCATACTACATGCATCATCAGTAGCCTGTACATTTCAAAGGTAAAATTTGGTTGGTTTTAGTCATTGTTGATCTTCTAATACATAGCCGTGTATTTTTTTTAACCTACTTAATTGTTCTGTATATCTCACTATGTGATGTTTATTTTTTATTTAGGTCGATTTTACGAAATGATGTTAAACATTTTAATGCCTTGGCCAACTTATCACATGTCCACATCATTGAACTCACACGTAAAGTATCTTGCATGATTAATTTTAATTGAATTAATTTACATTGTAATAGGCTTTTCTTGCGTTTCAATCATACAATTAATTTATAACTATATACCCTTCTTATGGCAACGCCCCCAGTGGCACAGCGGAACGTCTGCGGACTTACAACGCTAGAAACCGGGTTTCGATACCATGTGACTTTGTTTTTATAACTTCCGTTTTCGTTGTTATTGTTGTTCTACTAAATGACGGACAAGCTCAAGCGTACATTTACATAAGCGATTCAGTTGTGAGGAAGTGAGCCATCAATGCACCAAGGAAATGGGAAAGCTCGTACAGGAGTGCCTCTGTTAGCTCAGTGCTAAGTCTTGTAGGCATATATCGATAAAAACCGGGTTTTTGTATCTTTGGTGAGCACAAAGACCATTTTGTGGCTTTGTACTTAATAACAAACGAATAGGAACCCGTTTATGTCAGCAACAGGCTGTGAAACTATGCCTTAAGCCAATTCGATACAACGCCTTCATCAGCAAAGTGCAAATTAAGGTTATGAAAGAGAACCCTTCGATCCAAAAATGCAATGAAACTGAACATGATCACATCTACCTTTATAAGGATAACGTACAAGTGATTAAAGTTAACAAAGGCTTATAAACCAAAATCATCCAAGATATCGGCCACATCTCGACATCGACGACTATTCTTGAGAAAGTTGGCCAAAGAAGCTAGAACCACAACAGCCCATTCAACCACATACCTGTCAAGTCTCTTGGTACACCTCGGATGAACTTTTTTGTTTTTTCTGCTTAAAAGCTGATGCCTACATTAACTTTACGTTGAAGTTATTTATAGAAATATAGTGTTCTATTTCTACTATGAGAATATCTTAGCCTTATTGTATATCTTATAAAAGGGTGGAGGTTGGGAGTTTTATATTGTAGAAATTGAAAATTAGGGTGATTTATTTCTTCTTTAATGTTGCATCTAAATATTAAGGGTAACTGCCTTTCCACAACTGGGTGCAGAAGGCAGTAGGAGTTGAGACGTTATGGGTTTCAACACTCAACTTTTAACCCTTAACTGATTTTCCCTAGTTGCTGGCTAGTTTGACATCGGCGTCTGGACCTTGCCTGATAGATGGAATATTTCCAACGCGTTTGAGTACTATGGCCAGGACATTATCCGTCAAAAAGCGTATTACGCGTATTTTGGAATAAAACTTAGGAACCAAGCCCAATCATGGGTTCCGCACAAAGTTTGCATCGTTTGTTTCGAAGAGTTGGACTAAAGGTAAGAAAACGTATTTGTCTTTTGGAATGCCAATGGTCTGGCGTGAGCCTAGAAACCAAGGAGATAACTGCTATTTTTGCTCGTGTAACGTTTAAGGCTAGAACATTCGAAATAAAAATGAAATTTCTTATCCGAACCTTCAATCTGCTATAAGACCTGATGCTCACGGATCTTGTTTATCTATGTGGGAAATTTCTAGCTCTTTCAGGACCGAAACTTAAAGAAGGGATTTTTGTTTGGCCTCAGATTAGGAAATTTACTTCGGATGAACAGTTCGAAAGGACAATGAGGGAAGATGAGAAAGAAGCGTGGATTGCCTTTAAAGATTTTATCGACACTTTTTTAGGAAACAACAAGGACCCAAATTTCACAAATATTGTCAGTAACATGCTGGATAAATGAAAATAGTTGGGTTGTAATATGAGTTTGAAAGTTCATTTCTTAAACTCAAATATTGACTGTTTCCCTGAAAATCTCGGTGCCTTCAGCGAAGAACAAGGGGAAAGGTTTCATTAAGACATCGGGGAAATGAAGAGGAGGTATCGGGGAAGGTGGAACATCATCATGATGGCTGATTACTGCTGGTCATTGAAATGAGATGCTCCAGACACAATACATAAAAGAAATACCACAATACGTAGATTTCACAAAACAATATATATCTAGATGAATGAGGATGTATATTCGTTTGACATCAATGTTCTTCCCTTTTCTTCAGTTTGTTTGTATATTTGTTAAGAAACATAATAATAAAATGTTCATTGTTGTAAACGAAATAATAATTTGATCTAAATAAGAGTTTTTTTTCTTTCTTCCCGTTTTGTAAAATATTCTTACGTGATAGAAAAAAAAATGAATGTTATTTTCAAAATCTACGTAACTGAATTATGGAAAAATCCGTTATTTAAACTAAAACAACTTTTATGAAGTTTAAATTTGCAGGCCTGTGTTATCGCAGGACAATGATAAAAGTTTTCACAGAATTAAAAAATTATCGAGTATCTTTGTTTTGCTATGTTATGAGCTGAAGTAATTAACAAGAGATGGCGTTAACGTGAACTAGCGATTATAACCTGTTTACATCTGTCCAAATTTTAATTCGGTCTTTCTTTAAATATTGACTGATAATATTCCTCGCTTCAAAGTGCAAACGTTAAACAGACTTAACATTTATTATTTTGTAACCTGTATTATTGATTTTTTTCCATTTAACCTTCAGCTTCACTGCATTGTCAAAATGTATTGATATATTTTCTCTGCTCAAAGTTAATTACCTTATTTATAAGATAACAATTTTTTGGGAGCTTCACCGTAATCAAATTATAATGATTATCTATATCTAGTTTTAGCTTTGTTACCTTAACAACGCCTTCCTAATTTTAGCTTTATCAACTTCACAGGTTTTTTATTATTGCCCTGTTCCTTAGACTTCTTGATAATGTACCGACTAATTTTTACTCGTGCTTTAATTACCCTCACTAATTTTTGCCGGTGCTTTAATTACCCTCGCTAATTTTTGCCCGTGCTTTGATTACCCTCGCTAATTTTTACCCGTGATTTAATTACCCTCACTAATTTTTACTCGTGCTTTAATTACCCTCACTAATTTTTGCCGGTGCTTTAATTACCCTCACTAATTTTTACCCGTGATGTAATTACCCTCACTAATTTTTGCCCGTGCCTTAATTACCCTCACTAATGTTTACCCGTGCTTTAATTACTCTCACTAATTTTTACCCGTGCTTTAATTACTCTCACTAATTTTTACCCGTGCTTTAATTACCCTCACTAATTTTTACCCGTGCTTTAATTACCCTCACTAATTTTTACCCGTGATTTAATTACCCCCACTAATTTTACCCGTGCTTTAATTACCCTCACAGTCCATTTCCTGCCTTTGTCTTTATTACCTTCGCATTGCACTGGTTTTTCTTATGCTTTCAGCATTGTTTTCTTGGTACTAAATATACTTTCTCGCTCTTTTATCTTCTTTTCCTTCGCAATATTTTTGACCAATTTATTGAATTTTTATCTATGATACACACTTATATTTCACCGATTTTTTTCCCTCTCCTTCACTTCACACATTTGTTTATCCAGTTTATTACCTTGACCACTTGTCTACGGCTCCATTATTCGGGCATTATACTAATAATTATATTTTTTCTTGCCCTTCTCTCCAGGAATTCTTGTACCATTTGTTTGCCTTCGTGTTCTACTTGAGTTGCAGCATTGCCGTGCTTGCAGTTGTGTCTCGTCGGAACGATAGAGTATACTATACTGAATATGGGTACGAGGGTAAAATGGCCGCTTCCGTAAGTTTTTTTTAATAATTCATATAAAGTACGTTAATTAAACCGCTAGTACTGACAGAGATAACGTTTATTATCTGCATAGATTCAAAACGACTTATAAATCTACCTTCTTTTAGTGTTTGTAATGGCCATTTTGTAGATTCCTTTTAAAAAAAATAAATGACTTGTTTAATAATATATTTTATACACATTCTACTTCTTATGATTGATTTTTATTTTACTCAGACAGTTATATATTGTATCTCGTGTTTCTGGATAGCATTTCTGGGTTAGGCGGGGCCTAATAGTAGTCAGCTTGCTTGTAATGTGAATCTGAGAATTAATGGTTCGCGGTCCTTTACCGCAATAAAAATTATTATCATTTTCCTATTAGCTCGGATAAGGGTAACTCAGGAACTGGCGGGGACGCGTTCCTTCTAGTTCCCATCAGTTCAAAATTAGGGACAACTATGCGCAGAAAGCTCTTGTGTAGCTTTGCGCAAAAAATCAGAAATTTTGGTAGCATTTTATCTGTATTTCGACTGCCTTTTCTGCTTGTGTGATTATCATCCCACGTGACTGAAACGTCAACTGGTTATACATATGATAAGGAGTACGTGGATCTATGTTCTAACTGTCCAAATACGAATGGTTTCTATTGCGTAAAGCATAATTAATCATACCAAATATAACAAGTTTCACTCTCTCAGTCACCTAGTCCTTTTAATAAAGTTAACAACGTAAAGTTGTAATTGAAATCTGATATGGCTTGTGTTGTTCCTATCTGTTAAGATAGCTCAAAATTATTGCGACCGTTGTTTAATTACTTTTTTTTTTTTTT